TTTCTTGTTCTGTTACAGTCCTGACAAACTCGTTGAGATCTTTCTTCATCAATTCACCTGCCTCAATATTAAGTGGGTCTTCGGGGTTCGGTTCGAGGAAAAGTGAGAGAATTCCAGCGACGACGTGACTCAATGTGCTAACTGGGGACCAGTCCTTGTCGACTCTGAGTGTTGAAAGACAGACGTGTCCATCCAAGTCGATATTTGGGTGGTATATTTGTGTGATGCAAGAAACTTTAGGTGGGTTGTTTGGGTAATCGCGCGGACATTCAAAGAGGAAGGACCACTTTCCACCCTCGTAATACCCCTCGAGCGGTGATAAAATCAATTTGTACTTTGTGTAGTCGTTGGCATCAATTTGCTCAAAGATGCACCCGGGTATCGCTTCGTACTCGGCGAAATCCTTTTGGAGTCGTGCGCGAGCTATTTTTGAGATCCCACCTTGTTGGAGCTCGCCAGTTGGCGATGGTGAACTATTTGGACCTGACGATGCGGTCTTCGCGGCTTCAATCTTCTTCTTCAATGTTCTCATTGTGTTCGGAAAGTTTGGGTTTTTCGAGTTATTTTCGTCTTTTAAGTTCTTTCGTTCTAACACCTTTGAGTTTTAATCGTCATCCTTGCAATCTCAAATTCGAGGATTTTCATGTTGAGATTTGAATGAAAATGCACTTTTGTGATTATTTCCTTTTTTTTTCTCTTGAGAAAATCTTTCTTTTGAAAAAACGTGTTAACGTTTTCAAACACGTGGAATAGTATTTTGTCTTGTACTATTAATATACTATAAAGTTATGTATTTATCTTTTAATAATTATTTATAAAGTGATGAGTTTATAAAAATTAATAATAATTGATTTCAAATGATGTCGAATGGTTGAATAATCGATAAAATATAGTTTTTTAATTAATATATAATTACAATATAATTACAACTAGTCAAAGTCTGTGACAATAAACTTAAAATGCCATTTTATTTTTTTTCTCAAAAATAAATAAAAAATCATTTCAATTTTTTTAATAAAAAAAATGAAATGAGATTGAGAAATGGAAATGAGTGTTGGAACGAACGAACAGA